CGCCCTAGGCGACCGCCTAGGGTCGCCTAGTGGAAGCGCCGGCCCTGGCTCTCAGCTCTACAAAGAAGATGATCTTGCAGACGTATTGTGGGCATTGCTGCCTGAATTTCAGAGGTGCCGGGTACCCCCAGCTCTCATTAGTGTCAGTGGGTGGTGTGGAAAACATTGTGTGTCCATTTCAATGGCCCAAAATCAGGCCCTCTATGATTTTGTGGAAGAAATAGGTGTATGGATGCTGCAAAAGCAACATTTATGGGCCCATGTGCTGACTTGGCTGTTCCCCCATCCCCAGCCAGCACAGCACAGCAAATCTCCTCCAGGATGGGACTAGGAGGAGCAACGTTTGTGAAATTTGGGGCACGGCTGGATGTTTCTGAGCTAAAACAAGCTGGCCATGCCCTAACTGAGCTCTTTATAACTGTGACTGTGATGGTGCCAAGAAGGGAGATCGCTATGGGCTTCACGGGAGCCAGGAGCAGGGCACAACAGCCACGCACCCAGGTCCCCACGTCGCTGCCTCTCTTCAGACACGCAGAGGCGGCATCTGAAAGTGGTCTGATGGGCCAGCTCCAGCCCTGCTGTAACCCCATGGTCGTCTAAGCTTATTATTCATGCCAGGGATGAATTTGGCACTTCGTTTATTCATTCCTCTCTAAATGAAGCAACAGAGGGTCCTGTGGCATCTTTAAGACTAACAGAAGTATTGGGAGCATAAGCTTTCATGGGTAAGAACCTCACTTCTTCAGATGCGACCTCTCTAAATGGTTGATCTTGCCCCGTGATTGGACTTTCTCCCACACTTTGGCATCTGAGAGTCCGTTGATATCAGAGGCTCAACTGGAAGCCTAAAGAAAATTCTGCAAAAGGTAAGCTGAGTGTTTGTCCTGCTGCAAAGGAAGAGTTGTGTCCTTCTCCAGGAAATAGACACTGTGGTTAGAAAGAAGGAATGGTCTCGTGGCCTGACATTGACCTGGCAGCCAGGTTCTCCTGTGATGTAACCGCAGGGCTGACCTGGACTCCAGCTGTGGGTTTGAGCAAGGCCTCTGAAACTTTCTGTCCTGTCTCTCAAGGGTGCTGGGAGGGCTACCGCTAATGTAAGTCTGTAGTGTACTCCGATGGTGTCGGTACTAATATAGTTTCCTCCTACGAGAACGAGCGCATGGCAGACACGTTCTGTGTTGTAATAACAGCTGTATATCAAGGACCCTCTTTGCTCAGAAATCCATCGCATATTGCATTGATACACCCAGTACTAAAGGTGCCAATACAGAACATGCCAGTGCCTACAAATGACTCCAGTGCCATAGGATGCAATCCAAGAGCATTTAATACAATAGGTGGTTTTGCTAATACATACAAAAGTTGATCACAGGGTTTTTTAAGTGTTTGGATTAGTGCTTTTCTGTTAGGTTTTCTTGTTCCCTCTGCAGTGAGTGCACACATACCAGAGAGCTAAGACCAAGCTAATTCTGTCCTCCAAATTTATATCCTAAAACAAACGAATAAACACACGGTATCACATGTAACTACACACACAGAACACCAAGTCACAAACCAATGATCTGATTGTCAGATTTTCAGCTCTCTCTGACCCCGAGTGGAAGTAGCCCAGCTCAAACTGGATCTCATTTTTGGAAGCCCTGAGTTTCATTAATGCAGCCAGAGCCTCTGTGCTCTCTCTCTCTAGGAGGACCATGCGTCTAATAAGAGACCAGAATTTCCAGCACTGTGCAAAAGTGGGCATCTAGCCAGAATACTCAGCCCAGAGTGGTTCACGTAGAGCGGATGTAGGAGCTATTCCAGCACATACTTGGGCAGCTGCTGAAGATTTAGTCCTGGCCTTAGTTTCTGTTGTCCTCCCCCAGCTCTGCTTTTAGCCTGTGATTTGGGCGCTGATGTAGGAGGAGCAGCTGAGTGGAGGGTCCTGGAGAAACGCTGCATGCACCAGGCAGCTTGTGCTGTGTGCTTTCCCTTCTCTGCCGACTCCCCACAGCACTGCGGGAGCAACATCAGTGGCTTTGGGCATGTGAGTAAGGGTTTGCCAGGCCAGGCCCTGTTCGTGCAGAGTAGTCAGGAAGGTGGCCATTGTCCCAAGAGGGCTGCCCATTCCACCTTGGAGTGTTGCTGGTTGGCTGAGGTGTTCCCCTGCCCCCCCCCCCCCGCACTTCCTCTGCCTAGTGCTCAAGTGAACACTGCAGCCATATTTGACGCAGTCCCTGTGCCTATGAGAGAAGAAGGTCTGTGACCCATGCACTCTCTTCCAGCACCCAGTGCGGCGGGTTTCAGATTAGCTGCCCCCTCTCTCAACAAACAGCATGGCAAAGTTATAGCCAGAACTCTGGGAGAGCACAAGAGTTTCCTGAAGCGATGGAAGATGGTTCGAGGGCACAAAAACATCTCTCTTTCTAGTCAGCCACACCATGAATGTTCTAATTCTATGCCGCAGAAGTCAGACCTAGCATTGCACGGTCCTTCCCCCGGGCCAGCCCTGCCCCTTGAACGAGTGGCCCAAAAACAGCCTGTGAAACTCACGCTACAGCTAGCAAAAGCTGCTTTTTATAATATCCACACATGCCCACCCCACCCCCACACCTCCCACCTGAGGCGACGTCCACACTAGGAGCACTTTACCGGTATAGGAATACCAGTCTACTACACCAGCAAAGCTCTCCTAGTGGGTTTACCCACTTTACCAGCAAAGCTGCACTTTGTACCAATATAGTAACCTCCCCGCTCCCCCATGAATGAAACAAGCTAACCCCTCCCCCCCCCATGAACGAACCAAGCTACGCCCCCTCCCCCATGAACAAAACAAGCTATTCTGGTACTAACATTATCACAGTACAAATTATTCCCTAAGAAAAATTCAGGTTTCTGCTTCATTTGTTCCTTTTAAAGCTTGACTAAAGGGCCAAACGTGCCCTTGCTGTATGCAGCCATGACCCTATGAACCTGGCTGAAGCTGGGCCTGTTTTTGCCAATGGTAAATGTAAGCCAAAATTGCTCAATAGCTCGGTGTAGCCCTTCTAATAGGCTCATGGGTGGATTGTTTCCCCAGGACTCATCCATGGAAGGGCCACTGCACACAGGGCCACTCCACTAACCATCCTGCAAGGGAGGGGGGGGAGGAGAAACCAGCTGCTTCTGCAGCAGTTTTCCTCCCTGCCCTGTGCTCCAGGGGGGTCCTCAGGAGGCAGTCCGAGGTTCTGTATGTATTTGTACAGGGAGAGGTTGAGCAAGGGGCATGAGCGTTGTCATGGGTCATGGTAAAGCTACCTGAGTTAACATAGCCTGAGACTGCATTACCTTCTCCAGGGTACCCATAGGGTGCTGCCCACCCCAGAGAAGGAGTTCTGGGGCCATGTGCCAGTGTGGGAAACCCCACTGCCAGGGAGTGGGCTGGAGGGCAAATGGAGAGTCCAGCGACACAGGGCCCTTGTGTGAATAAGCTTCACCTCCAGCCAATATCTGGTGCTGAGCAGGTTCTGGGGGTGGGACAAACCCGCCTTCCATCATGCTGATCTGGGTCAAACTGCCCTAGGCAAAGCTTGCAGGGAGACTCTTTCCCTTACGTCCTTCCCTAGGAGTCTTCCCACTGGCTGAAGAGCTCCTAGATGTTAAGCGTTAGCACTGATGCAGCATCAGAGACTTTTCAGACAGCAGAGCCAGTCCTTCCACTAGGAGTTCTCCCTAAGGATGGCAGGTTGGGCCCACTCAGAAATCTCCATTGGCATTTTCCTCCATCTTCAAACGGCCAATTTCAGAACCTCTGTTTTGCTATAGTCTGAGATTTTTTTTCCCCTTGAAAAGATTTATTGCCTCACTGGCCATCAACCCGTTATATACAGAAAAGCTCTCTTCTTAATATCCAGGACAAAAAGATTATGAAACGAACCTACATTCTTTCCCTACAGCGGAAATAAATCACGTCAGCAATTTGTTGGAATGACCTCTAACACTCTGGGACATAGAAAGATCCCTATATGTGAATACTGATTTTTCCCCCCCCGGTTATATACTCCAGTAATCTGCTTTCAGACTCAGCCTTGCCAGTCATTTCAATGCATCTACTTATTAAATGGAATATGAGCTGTAGCACTTACTGGAATTGCCTGGGAGTCTCAATATGAGACAGTTTTGATCCAGTTGGGTTTTAATACTTGGGTTTATAACCTAATCTCTCCTTGCAACAAAAATGAAAATTAAGAGGGACTCGGAGGATTTTAATGGAGCCTCAAATGTGCACACACAGCCTTGTATGTGTGCAGTATCTACACATGCCAGAGTCCATGTTTGTGCATGCAGACAGCATGTGTCTGCAAAGCTGGTAGTTCGACATCTGACTGACCTGCACGTGCAAAAAAGTGTGCATGCATAAAACTGAGCATCCACAATTCTATGCAAAAATCGGCTGCTATGGAAAATGTGACCCTCATTCTAGGAAGCTTGTCATCTATTTTGCATGAAGAGATAGATTATTTTACAATCACACTGAGTGGAAATATGCTGGAATCAGTGTTGATTTAAGAGGCTTCTCTATAGCACATACATGAATAGAGTTTAATGTCTGTCTCAAATAGCTAAATCAGGGACCCTGACTTGGTGGGTCAGATCCTGCAAGCCTTACTGATGCATGTTCACATGCGTAATCCCATTTAACGCAATGGGGCTACAAGTCTCACGTGGTTGGGTGCACTGCATTTGCAGACAGCCATGTAGAAGGCTGGGAGGGTGGTGGTAATGCACCATGCACCAAACTGTTCTCCAATGAGCAGAAACAATAAAACTGAAATAAGAAATGACCATTGACCATCAAGTTATTGTAAACCACTAAATTATAGCCAAAGCTAACATGACAGGTGACAGAGACTATGTGCAACACCATCTGTCACTATAGCCACAGCCAGGGCCGGCTCTAGGCACCAGCAAAACAAGCAGGTGGCCAAAATTGTTTTTGCCTTGGGCGGCAAAAATCCTAGAGCCGGCCCTGGCCACAGCTCCCAAGAGAGAGACAGACAGAGGCGGACAGAAAGAGAGAGAACTGGGATGCAGGTGAAATAACACATGGCTAGATAATGGTTAACTCATTCTAAAAACCAAATCAGCTCTCGCTCAGATCTCATTCTGGTTATTAATAGTCAGTAATCCTTGGCACTCCTAAACTCCGGCATACTCCATACTCTTCTGGTTGGCTCAGTGCCTCGCTCCACGTCCTCTGAAATGGTCTTGATGTTGCTGCTGAATGGGGAAATCCTGGTCCGGGATTTAAATGTCATTAGAGACAGGCTGGTTTTGTGTTTTGTGTTCCACTGCCTCGCAAGTTTCTTGGCCTCTTCTTCCTCTTTGATTTTCTCAGTGGCTTCCTGCAGGACAGAGCGGAAGAGCCGGGCTACTTCCTGTACCTCTGGCTCGTATTCAGCAATAAGTTGCCGGAATCTGAAAAAGTACAATCAATGGACAACTTTAATTTTTAAAAAGCTGAGCATTAGTCCATAGTTTGATATAGAAATTCAACTCCCATTGGGAATGGGTTTGATCACTTTAATTTGGGGGTATTTCATCAGCTCATAATGTATGATAAGACAGTTGTTAGTCCAGTACAAATTTGGTACAGCACTGGTCTGTGCTGCAAATGAGGGTGTATTTATAATAATAATGCTTCTATGGTACCTTTTCAGGGAGGCTCTCAAAGCAGTTTACAGACACTAATGAATTTAGCCTCACTACAGTATTATTTCATTTGAGAGGTAGGCAAGCTGAGGCACTGAGAAGCAGAGTGACTTGCCTAAGGTCACACAGTGAATCAGTGGCAGAACTAGGTGTAGAGCCCACGACTCCTGACTCCCAGTCCTGTGGTCTAACCACTAGGCTGTGTTCCCACCTGCACCTGGAGAGCATGTAGTTCCACTCACCCGACTCTCATACTGGTAGCATCTATATTCTAGTTCTAGTTAAATGCTAGTGAATTACACCCATGAACAGACAGACATAACTGTTTAATGCTGAGAACTGCATATATTTAATAAAACCAAAACTATATGATGCTTGTAAAGCATTGTAGAGTCTTCTATAGAATTTAACAGTGATGAAAGCAATAGGTTTCTATAGAAATTAAATCTGATGCTGCAGGAATTGTCCTAAAAACCTGAAGAATGAAGTTCTTTCTATGGGTTTTTTGAACCATCCTATGGAATGTACTAGGAAATTACATCTCTGCAATAGAATTGGATAGTTTCATTTAAAATCCTACGGCAAGATTATCATTCTCTTGTATTCCAAAGGGCTTTTCCACATGGGATGAAGTAAATCCATGTGTAAATTCAAACTGTTTGACCTTTACTGTGCAAGAATATCACCGTGAAGCACAACTGTACTGGTGAATGGCACTGAATGCGTGTTTTAACACTAGTTTTACACAGCCAAACATCTCAATGTGCTTCACTTCCTATGGTAGCACAGTAAACATATCTGAGCATTGCCCAGTGCTGCCTGGCGCTGAGTGCACTCAGCTCCAATGAAAGCTAATGGGAGTTAAAAGTGCTGAGCACCTGCCAAGACTGAGCCTATAGTCTCTGATCCAAAGCCCATTGCAGTCAATGGAAGATCTCCCATTGACTTCAATGACTTTGGAACAGTTCCTTAATGCAGTAACAAAGCCCTAATGAACTTCGACTATCAGAGGCACTGAGAACCCCTGCACACTCCCAGTTGGACTGAGAGGGTCTGATTCCATCAACCCATACTGACATGAGAGTTCAGGATGCACGAAAGCTGCACATGCTTTTACCATTTAAAAGAATAGGCCGACCGACTCAGATGCAGGGACTGAACAAGTGGGGGAAGGGGCGATGCTTACGGGTTAATATGTAAAGATGTTAATTGACAGAGACAATGTTGCTGGCACATTGGCAAAGTGTTGCTTTTAAGCAGTGCCCTTAGGCTGTGTTCTTGGCTCTTTGCTAGGTCCAACTAGCAAATGGATTTACTTTATTCCCTCCCTTATAGTCAGAAACTTCCAGAGATGGGACTATCCAAAAATGAGGTCTTTTCAACACCAATGAAGTAGGCTCAGCATGTAGGAAAAGTGCCCTCAAGGGATCTTTCACCCGACAGGAATGAATTTGATGATACATTCTTGTGTTAGTACTCAGAACTCAGATTAGTACAACTGAAATCATTTTCTAAATCAAATTAACTTCTCACCATCCTATCTGTTGGACAGGGTGGCCAACAAGACTGGGATGGCCAGTTTCACTTCTGTGTTTTCATGAACAACAGAAGTCTACAGCATTTGAATAGGAGCATGTTTCAATGAACATAAACAACCCCAAAGCCTGTTTTCACTGACATTTAAAAAAAGATTGAAATAATTTATCTGAGGTTTCGTTCTTTTTAAACAAAATGTGAATGTAGATTTAGCCACTTGACTCTGCCCATTAAAATGTCACCACATTAGGGGCACATAAATGCAGCAAAAGGAATTGCCAAGTGTGACGCATGGCTAGAAAGGGTTAAACATCCTGCAAAATAAATAACCCTCAAAAGACATGTGGGGAGATAATGTTTGTGTTTTTGTGTATTTACATATGTACGAGTAGTGTGGACAATGTAACCAACAGTCCTGTGCTGGATTCTGATAGCTCAGAGATCAAAAGAACATCCTAGAATTTAAATGAATTGTGAACACGGGATATCTCAGTATTCATCTCTCTTTGAAATGTCCTGTTAAGGGTGGAGGAACAAGCAAATGGCCTTATGTTAATTCTATAGCTAAGTACCGGTGATGGACCTCCTTCGAAGTCCTGCTAAACACCTTAGATCCTGGGGTCCTGATTCTGTCATCTCAGCTCTGTTTAGGCTTCATCGGGGGACGTTTGAGTTGCACGACTGAGGTCCTAGTTATGCTGGTACGCCCTGAATATGAGATTTGGACATTGCTATAACCCAGGGGTAAGCAACCTATGGCATGCGTGCCAAAGGCGGCACGCGAGCTGATTTTCAGTGGCACTCACACTGCCGGGTCCTGGCCACCAGTCCAGGGGGCTCTGCATTTTAATTTAAGTTTAAATGAAGCTTCTTAAACATTTTTAAAACCTTGTTTACTTTATATACAACAATAGTTTAGTTATATAATATAGACCTATAGAAAGAGACCTTCTAAAAACGTTAAAATGTGTTACTGGCACACGAAACCTTAAATTAGAGTGAATAAATGAAGATCCGCACACCACTTCTGAAAGGTTGCCGACCCCTGCTATAACCTATGAACTATTTCGGAAAGAACTCTCTGCAACTACAAAGCTCACCATCTATGCTATGAATCTGAACCTCAGTGGACTGAACTCATGTCTGTAAGTATATTGATCTTTTAACCATACTCACGCTGTTGTTTTTAAATACATTTTAGTTTAGTTAATAAGAATTAGCTGTAGCGTGTATTTGGGTAAGATCTGGAATATTCAATAACCTGGGAGATAATGTGTCCAATCCTTTGGGAGTGGTAGAACCTTTTCTTTTATATGATGAAATAAGATTTACAGAAATTTTCATCATATTTGACATGGAGGCCTGAGGCTGGATCACTTTAAGGGAACTGTGTTGTTTGGAGTTCTGAGAAACCAGTAAGGTAATAAAGAAGCTGTATTATGCTGGTTTGGTAAATCTAAGTATTGGAATATCCACCAGCTTTATGGGGACTGTCTGCCCCATTCTTTGCAGTTCACCCTAATTGAGTGACTATAGCTGGCCCCCACTGGGACTCCAGTCACACCAAGTAAGGGGTGTTCCTAGATATAAGGTGCAAAATATATATGTGGAACAAAGAAGTAACTATTTCTCAGTAGGAAGAGTGGGCAGGTTATCACAGGCTCAAGGCAAGAGCCAGCTCACTCTCCAGCTGAGGTTTACATGTCTATTTGTGCTGCTGCTGGACAAAAATATATATTAACCATGGCAACTTGTGCATCACAGGAGAGACTGCTTTTCCTGAGACAAATCAACTTATTGTTATTTTTAACAGAGTAAATATATGACAGCAAACTTTTTTCATCCATAAGCCACTTTTGTGAACAGCTAGTTATTGCAAAACTTTTATTTTTCTGTAATTTTTCCAATTTTTAAAAAAAAAGTATTGACTATCACAGTCTCAGATCGTTTCCTCCTCACCTCCAATTTAATTTTGTTGCTTTTTGGCTTCTTAGGGTACGTCCAGACTACCCGCCGTATCGGTGGGTAGCGATCAATTTATCAGGGATCGATATATCACGTCTCGTTAAGACGCGATATATCGATCCCCGAACGCACTCCCCGTCGACTCTGGAACTCCACTGGAGCGAGCGGCGGTAGCGGAGTCGACGGGGGAGCCGCGGCCGTCAATCCCGCACCGTGAGGACCCAAGGTAAATCAATCTAAGATACTTCGACTTCAGCTACGCTATTCACGTAGCTGAAGTTGCGTATCTTAGATCGATTCCCCCCCCAAGTGTAGACCAGCCCTTAGGATGAGTCAAGATAGATATCATCTTACTTCTGTGCTTTCTTACAGTAAGATAAGAGTCCTTAGTCTTTACTCAGGCAAAACTCTGTAGGAGTGTTTCTTGAGTAAGCACTGCAGGATTGGGCCTGAAGTTTGTCACTTGTTGAGGGATCCTTCATGTGACTGAGGTGTAATCAATAAATCGTGTGCAGGGTGGTGGTTTCCCACATCAGGTCCTGTTTCTCATATTTCAACGTCTAGAATGGGTTTGTGCATCTTTTTCTCGTGTACCTTTCCCCTTCTTCAGCACCAATGATAGACATGTTCTTCTGAGCATATAGTAATTGTACAAACATCAAATTCTGACTGTTTCCAACCCAAGAAGGAAGGAAGGATGAGGAGGGAGTCAGAACATTCCACTCACTAAACCCTACTGCCCATCATCTAGGACTTTGCCAAGAACTAATGCTTAGCTGGCATATGGTTAACAAACTGCCTCCCTGGTAAGAAATCTGCATGGCTCCCGTCATATTAACTGGATGCTGCAGGGGAGGAGCCATCACCAACAACAGAGGGATGAGTGGTCAGACAAATACTGTCTCATGCCAAGAAAGAACCAGAGACACTTGCTACAGAGGTTGCTCAGAGCAGAGTGTTTAATCACAAAATCAGGGTCACTATGTTTTCCTCCTAAAATGTATGGGTTCTCTTACATACCAAAACAAGCACACAGAATCATAGGACTGAAAGGGCCCTCGAGAGGTCATCTAGTCCAGTCCCCTGCACTCATGGCAGGACTAAGTATTATCTAGACCATCCCTGACTGGTGTTTGTCTAACGTGCTCTTAAAAATCTCCAGTGATGGCGATTCCACAACCTCCCTAGGCAATTTATTCCAGTGTTTAACTACCTTGAAAGTTAGATAGTTTTTTCTAATGTCCACCCTAAATCGCCCTTGCTAC